TCTCCATTTAAAATGATGTTGGCTGTGGGTTTGTTATATATGGCTTTAATTATGTTGAGGTATGTTCCCTCCAGTCCAATTCCCTCTAGGACTTTGAACATAAATGCATGCTGAATTTTGTCAAAGGCCTTCTCTGCATCTATTGAGATGACCATGTGGTTCCTGTCTTTGAGTCCATTTATATGATTTATGACATTTATTGACTTACATATATGTCGAATGCCCCCCAAGCCCATCAGGCTTGGATCTTCAACAAGAAGGACAGTTAGGCAAACGTCTGAAGTTATGGGAGGAATTTATTAAAGGGACAGCAGGTACAGAGAGGAGAGTGCTCTCTAGAAGGAAGAATCTACTGAGGGGTCTCACAGGTCCTTTTTATCCAGCCCGGAGTGTGGGTTACCTAGGTGAATTTTCCTAAGAGAAACAAAAGGGTTACTATGGATACAGCACGAAGCTGCAGCTTCCGGTGCCCTCAGACCGAACCTAAACTAACTTTCTAGAAGACCTGATTTATCATACAGGTACAGCCTGTCAGCTCTGACCGCTGAAGCAGAGAGCTCAGAAGCTCTTATAGTGACACTCTCCTAATTTCCAATACTTATGGCAAGCATGGCTCCTGACATATCCCCCTTTCTTTTTATATTTTTAAAGATGAAGTACATGCCAATAACTGGGATGGAAAGACCATGCCTGTCTTAGGTTGTCCTCTGCCAGAGTGAAAGCCATTGGGGGCAGCCAGCATCCCGCTTCCCTCTGAGAGGATCTTACCCATCACTGCCTAACTGGCCTCTGGAAAGCTCCCATCAATTGGCCACGGCCTTGGGGAAGAAACTGGCAAAGGACTCTTTTAAAGTTTAAATCTTCTTACTTTTCAAATCCTCTTTTCTGGTACAATCTCAAGGTCCACTCACTACCCTTCGCTCACCAGCAGCTCATCAGCAGTCTATTTTTACCTATCAATTCGCTACCTGTGAATTTCGAATTCTCTACCTGTGCAACTAGAGGTTAGGCAGAGCCTAAGTCCCCCCTCCAAACAAATAAAAAGGACCCACAGCCCAAGGGGTCAAAGGGAGGATAGAAGGGAAGAAGTATCTCACAAAGGAGCATAAAAATGGTGCACAAATCATGTGGTATACACAAGCAATCAAATAGGGCAGGGATGCATCATAGCCAAAGTCCAGAGATGTAGAACGGTGGGCGCCAGGCGGTGGAAACAGTCCAAGGGCAGCGCAAACAGAGTTCAAAAGACTCGGTCCAGGAAAACTGGGAACATAGGAGGTGAAGATGGATGGCGGAGCGATGACACAGATGGCACAGAGTCCGGACAGAGTAGAGGAGGATGGCAACAGCGGTGGAAGTGACGCGACGGGAGTGAACACATCATGGCGATATCCTGTGAAAAAAGCAGAAATACACCCCCTTCCTGGGCCACCATGGGGCTAGGTAGCCACGTTAGTGAGCAACTGTAGCAGCGGAGTCCTTCTGAAAATGAAGAGCAGAAAAGATGATTGCAGCAGCCTGTTTGTGAGCCTGCAGCTGCAGACAACGAGATACACAGCAACCACCGATTAACAGTATACATAGAACAATCACTAAAGTAACCAAAGAAGAGCCAGAGCTATGTAAAATACTCTGAAACCATCCACGAGGATCAAGACCAGAGAGAGTATTTGCTAAAGAAGTAGGCAGCCCACCCCTAACCGCCCCCCGGTGGCACGCAACTGCATCACACTGGGCCACAGCTTCAAGCAGCCACACACCATCCAAGGAAGGCCCAGGGGTTACGCGGGCAACCAGGACAACCACGGGCAACAGAGCAACACACCAAGTTGTCAAGGCAACATCAACATCAAACACAACCATGTACACCAAGTAACCAAGGTAACGCACAGAAACATAACCGTCAAAGCATCCATAGAGAGAAAAACAAACTGAACATTGCTCTAAACAAACTGAACGTTGCGAAGTAGAGCAAACAAATCCATAGATAAAATTTTACTTTATGGCTGATATCAGTAAGCCGAATTTGTAATTTTTATAGTGCGCACAATATTGTTATAGACGTCTTTTTGCAACATCATGGAACTTGAAACAGAGTACGATAGATTCAAGAGCTCATCATGAGTGATTTATGCCACAAATCACCTGTTGATTACTACATGTAACTCCCAGCAAAGCTAGAACCTCTCCGGCAGCTGGTGTTTGAGTCCAAACCTCTCCGGCGGCACGCAACTGCATCACGTTGGGCCACAACTTCAAGCAGCTGTGTACCAGCCAAAGGAGGCTGGGCACCAGCACCAAGAAAGGCTCAGCCCCTGCCACGAACCACATGTAAAGCTCCAAGACACAGTGCAAGCGGCCTCTGCCACAAGTCACCTGCGTAAAGTTCTCCTCACAGGTAACTTCTGCTACAAATTACTTGCTCAGAGTGCTCAGGATGCCACCTCACATACCTGAGCCACTGACCTGTGCTGTCGGGAAAGAACACAGAAAGACAAGTTTTCACACA